GCAGCTGATCAATGTTTCTCTCTCATCGATGTTTCCAACTTTCTATCCCTCTCCCTTCCTCTCTGTAAAAAAAAAAAAATCAATAAAATATATTTTTTTAAGAAAATAGAAATAAGCCAGCCAGAGAAAGAGAAATATCACATGATCTCACTTATATGTGGAATCTAATGAACAAAATGAACAAGAAAAATAGAGACAGACTCATAGACAGAGAGCAAGCTGACAACTGAGGGAGGGGAAGATTGAGCAAAAAAGAGAAAAAACTAGAAAAAGAAACAACTAAAAAAAAAACCATACCAATGAATTGCACATTTCTCCACTTATATGATGCATTGTAAGTACATGAAAGTTAAATATTTATTTTTTAAAATAATTCTTTGCTCTAAACAAAATTAAAAAGCGAATTTAAAATTCCATATACTTGCAATGCTTATAAAAAGTTAATATCGCCGAAACCGGTTTGGCTCAGTGGATAGAGCGTCGGCTTGCGGGCTGAGAGGTCCCAGGTTCGAGTCCAGTCAAGGGCATGTACCTGGATTGCGGGCACATCTCCTGTGGGAGATGTGCAGGAGGCAGCTCATTGATGTTTCTCTCTCATCGATGTTTCTAACTATCTCTCTCCCTTCCTCTCTGTAAAAAAATCAATAAAATATATATTAAAAAGTTAATATCATTATTGCATAGATTATTTAGAAAAAAAGGTGTATACCAATTTCACAAAAAGAGGACATGATGTGATTATGCAATATACAGCAGACAAGATTCACATGGCTACAAACAGGAAAATTAAACTTTACTATTTATTAAGTAAATAACAACCAAAACAATAATCTTTTGCCCAGTTAATAAAGATGAAAACTATATAATAGGTAGTGCTGAATTGGGGCACTTTCATACACTATCTGATTATGAAAGTAATGATTATTCTAACTATTCTGAGGTGTTTGTACTCTTTAGCCCCAAGTTACCATAAAGGTGGGGACAAATTCTAATCAATACAAATATTTATGGTAAGTAAATGGTTAAATAATGTGCATGACCTTTGGGATTATACACTGTGCTGACATTTAAAGTTAGATTTTTAAATAATATTTACTATCTTGAGAAATGTGCATAATACATTTAGTGAAATAAGCAAGTCTAGAAAGTATGTGTGTATGTGCACATACACATAATATGAAACTATCTTGAGGGTATATCCTAAAATAATAGAAGTATTTCAGTTTTCTCTGGTTTAGTATAATTGTGGATGATTTTTCCCCTATATTTTTCTATAATCTATATTTTCTGAAGGGAACTTTATTATTTTGCTCATCATAACAAAACACTTTAAAAAATAATTTTTAAATGCACTAAGGAGATATATAATTTATGAAATTTGCAGTGAATCTTATAAAATTATTATTTTTATAATACAAACTTTTACTCCTCAGTGTATGTATTTTTATATTTTTTATGGTCAAAGTTTTATATATTTAAGGTTTTGTGTGTGTGTGTTTTTTCTTAAACAGGGCACATTTGTACCTTAGCTGATTAAAATAAAAACATGTTTTTAGAAACAACTTGAAAGTCTTCCAGTTTCAATAAAAGCAATATTCTGAAATATTCATAATTTTTCATTCCTGATTTATAACTCTCAGGTGACTTACACATGTCTATTTCCTGTGTGCGTTAGATTATACCTCAGGAGAATGATACCCGCTCTAGCCTTACATATAAGTACATCATCCATGAAGACTCCGCACCTACAATCAACAACAACAATGTCATCCAGGAAGAACTAGACACTTTTGAGTGGGCTTTGAAGAGCTGGTCTCAGTGTTCCAAACCCTGTGGTGGAGGTAACAGTTGACACATTTATAACTTTACTAAGCAATTCATATTAAGCCAATCTGCTTGCTTCTGCCTTAAGGATTATCTCTAACGGAGGCTATAATCTGAGAATACCACACAGAGCTGAAAGATAAATACAAAGCATTTTTACCAAAATTTCAGAATCTACAAAGGGTAGGAACCCATTCATAAATGTAGACCTTCTTAAAATCCTCTTTCCCGTTCCCCCGAGTTCTTTCAGTCTCGTGTGATTTCAATAATCACTTTATTCTTCCCAGTCTCTCCCAAATTCAGTGTCCTCTGGTGCTCGCCTTCTGCACTTTTACTTTCCCTGCCTATGCATTTCTTTTCTGTCAGTGTTAATAATAAAAGATCTATTAGTTGTACTGTGTACCAGGTACAGCCTTAAATGCTTTATGTATTAATGCATGAATACTCGCAGGCCTCTGTGAAGTCCCTTCTATTATTATGTCTGTTGTATGAATGGAGAAACCAAAGCACAGGGAAGGTAAGTAATCCATAAGGTCGAACCCAGGAGGTCTGGCTTCTGAGTACATGCTCTTACTACATTATGCTGCCTCTCTGCCCTCCCTAACATAAACCCATTCAGCTGTTCTCATGGGTTCTCCAATTCCCCCATTTTCCATTCCTCTTGTTCTTAACAACAGTGCTTCAGAATCGGGCTGGCCAAGAAAATTCTCCCAACAGGCAGGAGAAGGCCAGGACCTCTCACAATACTGACACTGACTAACTGAAAACAAAAGATTATTAAACCATTTCTTTTATCATTTTAAATTCAAGAATGCATTTCTAAAGTGTTTTTTGGGGGGCCAAGGGAGTAGGCATAAAGTGTTTTAGTTGCTTATGTAAAACAGCACTTTATTTATTATACAAAGTTTGTTTAATTTGGGCCCTCCCTCCTTTTGTATCCTCCCCACTGACTTGGTCACAAGATTTGTCATATACACCTTTTTTTTTTTAACATCTACCACATCTATTCCTTCCTCACTGGGACTCCTTCACAATTTTGGAAGGGACGATTGTTGCAACAGTCTCTTAGTTGACTAACTTTTGATTTTCTTTTCTTCCTTTATTTGCAGGGTAATCTTTCTTGAATGAATGAGTGAATGAATCAATGAATTAATGTGTAGAATGATATTATTTCCTTGTTTCAAATCCTTTAGTCTCCTAATGCGTTGCCCTGAAATACAATATAACTTATGTAGTATTGCCAAAAGTGAATAACCTGAATCTAACCATTAGGAGACTATTAAATAAATCCAAATTGTGGGACATTTTACAAAACAGTTGGTGTGTACACCTCAAATATATTAAAGATAAAGAGTCTCAAAAACTGTTCCTGATTAATTCTATGACAACTGAATGTTCTTGACTGGAAAAACATTGCAACACAGAACATATAGGAACAATTGAAAATTTTGGGGTATGGACAATATATTCTATATATATAAAAAGCCACCATCCGGAACTCCGTAATGACCAGAACAACCAGTCACTATGACACCCACTGCTGCCAGCAAACTAGCCTAATCGGGGGGTGGTGCCAGCCGGCTAACCTCCTATGGGCCCCCACCACCCTGATCAGCCCGCAGCCCCTCCCACACCTGGCCCCACCCCAGATCAGCTCCCCCACTTCAATCAGGGGCAGGGCCGGCCAGCCAACCACCTATGGCCCCTCCCCCCAGCAGCCCCATGCCTGATGGGCCCCCACCACCTCAATTGGACTACGGCCCCTCCCCCTGCCCGGCCCTGCCCAGCCCGCCCCGGCCCCTGCCCCAGGCCTCTGGCCCCCATCAGCTCCCCCCACCCCTTTGGGGTTGGGGACAGCCAGCCCACCACCCACAGCCCCTCCCCATGACCAGCTCCATACCCAATCAGCCTATGGCCCCTCCCCCCGGCCAGCTCCACCCCAAATTGGCCTCTGACACAGCAATTGGAAGTGGGCCTCGCAGGCCAACCTCTCACAGCCCTTCCCCTGGCTGCTGACCCCTGATCAGCCCCTCCACCCCAATCGAGGGCAGGACCCACCAGCCAACTGCCATGACCTCTCCCCCCAGTCAGCCTGACCCTGGTTGGGCCCTCATCAGAGTGAGCTGGCTGGCCAACCTCCTGCTATCTCCTCCTCCTGACAGACCCAGCCCCGATTCACCCCGATTGGGGCTGGACCACCTGGACCCCACCTGTGCACAAATTCATACACTGTGCCTCTAGTCTATACTAATAAAAGGGTAATGTGCTAATTAGACTGGACATCTTCCAGACATCCTTCCAGACTAAGCCACAGTGGGTGGGGGCCAAGGCAGAGGTGGTTAGGGGCAATCAGGCCAGCAGGGGAGGGCAGTTAGGGGTGATCAGGCCGGCATGTGGAGCTGTTAGGGGGCAATCAGGCCAGCAGGCAGAGGCAGTTAGGGGTTATCAGGCAGGCATACAAGCGAGTGGTTAGGAGCCAGCAGTCCCGGATTGCAAGAGGGATGTCCCGGATTGAAGAGGGTGCAGGCCAGGCTGAGGGAACCCCCCTCCCCGAACCATGCACAAATTTCATGTACCAAACTCTAGTCTATATATATATATAAATCTAAGCGACTGTTACAACCGGTCACTATGACATGCACTGACCACCGGTGGGCAGATGCTTAATGCAGGAGCTGCCCCCTGGTGGTCAGTGTACTCCCACAGCCAACCTTTTGCAGACAGCCAACCTCCTGCAGTCTTTTCCCCTAGCTGGCCAGGCCCAATTGGACCCCACTGGGACTGGGCCAGATGGCCCCAATCAGCCACAATCACCTGCCAGGCCAAGGGACCCCATCCATGCATGAATTCATTCACTGGGCCTCTAGATTTATAATAATATGTCTGCATTAAATATCCTGATTTTAAGAATTATAGTGTGGCTATGTAAGAAACTGTGCTTACTCCCAAATGGTTCAGCAAAATTTTACATATGTGTTATATAGTAATTATATGTAAGCAAATATATGTACCTATCTCAAATACAGTGACATGGTAACACAAGGTTAATCTAGATGCAAGGTATAGAAATGTTTATTGTGCTTTCCTTACAACATCCTTTAGGTTTAAATTTTCAAAATAAGAAATAATTATTTACAAATGTGAAAGCTGATGGTTGAAGAGACCTTTAATAACTCCCTGTGACCTTAAAAATAAACTCCAAACATTTGTCTGCCAGTCAAGGCTTTTACATGGAGCCTCTCCTATCTCCCACTCCCTTCACATGTGAAACTTCAGTCATTCAAAGAGACCTGCCGTGTTCTATAGGTTATTTCCTTGGCTTGGAGGAATATTCTACTTTATCCCCTCTATGCAATGCTATTTGAACTTGAAGATTCTACCCAAAGAAGTGCTCGTCATGTAAGAAGGGTTCCCTCCTGTTTCCCAGCTAAATTAGAGACTTTCCCCCTGCGTTGCTTTGGTGCCCCCTACAGTGCATTATGTACATAACTCTGTAAAAGCCTAGGTCACAGGGTTTTGTCACAGTGGTTTTCAAACTTGTCCGTAATAATAGAGTCTCTATATTCAGGGTTCAGTTTATTAGCAAATGTGCAGTTACTATTTAATAATTTGTAATATTTGTTAAATGTAGGCTCTGAAAAGAAGTTTTGTTTATTAGTTTACTTCTGGACCTTCAGCAACTAGAAAAGTGGCTGGTTTATTGTATGCATTCAGTAAATGTTTGAGAATGGACAAGTGATTAAATACAAAGAAATGTACCTTCTTTCACAGGTTTCCAGTACACTAAATACGGATGCCGTAGGAAAAGTGACAATAAAATGGTTCATCGCAGCTTCTGTGAAGTCAACAAAAAGCCGAAACCTATTAGAAGAATGTGCAATATTCAAGAGTGTACACATCCACTGTAAGTATTTATTTTAACTGTCATACCCTGAGGACAAAATAGTATGGGTTTAGATGTCTTTAGCTCTTTTCAATTTTGGTCAAAGCTAATACATGTATCTGGTTTAAATAGTGAAATAAATTCCCAGGAATTATGTGAAGCTGTGGTTCCCTGCTCTCTACCATATTCCTTCTTCTCAAAAATATATTTTTGTATTTGGTAAAAAATAAATACGTGTAGGCAGCTAGGGTCATCTCACTATTCCATATGTGGGATTTTACTAACCGCATGTATTCACTATGATTTCTTACTCTATTGTCCGTTGACTGTATCTGTTGTCCACGAGTTAAAAGTCTGATTTACCTTATATAGAAGATTAAAAAAAAAAAAAAACCTTCTGCTGGGTTAGAGGAGGAGCAGTCACCCAGCGAAGTCAAAAATTAGGAGGCCTCCCTGCCTCCCAGTAGACTTTCCATCAGTCCCTGTTTTCAGCCCTGCCATCACCCGCACTTTCACCTGAGGCTGTAAGCTCTCGGTTTCTGAAATTCGGCATCGTCCGTTTATTAGCTCCTACTGCTGACTTAAACGTCATTCTTCTTATGTCTACTAACTACTCCCTAGGTTCCAAAATTATCTTGTGGCGGCTTCTTTTCAATTTTTTTTTACTTTTGGCCTTTGTGCTATTTTTCTCATTCGTCGTCATTCTAGGAGTTTCAGGATGGAATAAGGTAACCATCATTGTCTATGATATGAAGCGTATGTTTCTCAAGTAATTCCTGTCTTCAGATGAGAGTCACTACTGAGGCCTTCAAAATGGGTTGCCAGAATACATTGTACTGCCTACTTGACGCGCTGGAGCTATCTTAAACAGCTAATACCAAAGACTGAAAGGTTTTAGTGTGGTTGTATTTTGGAGCCCCGTATATATGGAAAGAAAAAACAAATTGCAGAGGAAAAGTAACTTTAGAGAGGCTAAATAGTATGCCTCAATTACATTCTGACAGATTGATGAAGCAGATGGAATCGACAGTCACAGCCCTGGGGAACCTGGTAACCCCATGTAATGGGGAACTGTCTGTAATATTGTACACACAGCTGATTTGGAGGGTACTGTGGGCATTGACATTGACGCTAGAATTTGGAAATGTCCCATGGGAAATCTTTTTGAAAAGATTTTGGAAATATTTCTTTCAGGTGCATTCAAGCCCTGGATGGCCACTGCCTTTACATTCTTGTCAGACCCATTAAGGACCAACATGAAGAACTGAATTTTCTAAACAGAATAGATATGTCAGGCAATCTTCATGGCAATGATTGTAGAAATAAACGTCATCTCCGAAAATGAAAAATGAATAAATTCATGGTTTCATGGAAAAAGCAGCAGCAGCCAAATAAATTTGTGTTAGCAAGCATAGGGTGGATTCCTGTTTTTATAATTTCCTTTCAGATCTTTAACACCATTAGGCAGTGTGGCTGAAAGTGAGTTGGTATTATTTTGTAAACTGCCATCGTATCTAAACTTAACCAGGTATCCTCAAGATGAGTTTCAGAAACCTTCTGTTGGTCATGCTTTAGGAAAGGACAAAGTTTCAGAATCATTGGGAGGCAGAAAAATACTAAGCCATTCAAAAATAGAAGTGTCGGGCCTATCATTGTTAGAAAGTTCTAAGACTTTTTTTAATTGCTCAATGCACCCCTCTCTGAAAGTGCCTCCTGTACTACCGTAAGCCCCACTGGGTTGCACGTCACTCAGAGAGCAGGGGAGTCTAGACTTGCAGGGCAGGAAGGTGTACATGCTACACCCCAGTGACCATGTTCACTTCACCCCCACACCCACAGCTGGATAGCAGAAGAGTGGGAGCATTGCACCAAAACCTGTGGGAGTTCCGGCTACCAGCTTCGCACTGTGCGCTGCCTTCAGCCCCTCCATGATGGCACCAACCGCTCTGTGCACAGCAAGTACTGTGTGGGTGACCGGCCTGAGAGCCGCCGGCCTTGTAACAGAGTGCCCTGCCCAGCCCAGTGGAAAACGGGGCCCTGGAGTGAGGTGGGTGTGTGAGTTCTGCATGCACGTGTATGTGCATAAGATAGGAAGGCTATTTTCATCTGGCTTCAATATCAGGCAAGCCTTGTGTGAATTGAGAAACTTGCATATTTTAAAATCATTAAGCACCTGGAGGTGTTTGCAAATTTAATATTTTAAAACAGTGTTTGCATTTAAGTTTAGTTGGTTGAGGCAAACCATGTCTGGGTGTTTTGTGACATAGAGGAGTCTAAAGGTGACTGATCTTCTGTTTAATATATTTGTTGACTTCACCATCCTTATGGGTTAATTCCAAACCCCTGACACCGAATGCAGGTCCCTGCCCCATTTGGCATCACACAAACCTTTTTTTTTTTAATTGAGGTGTAATTAACACAACATTATATTAGTTTCAGGTGTACAATGTAAGGATTCAATATCTGTATATATTGCAAAATGATCACCACAAGAAGTCCTACACTGACTCTTCTTATTTTTTCTTTATTCCAACTCTTTGACTCAGTTTAAGTAAAATTCCCACTGTTCCAAAAAGACTGTTCTGGGTAGAGCATCCTACCTTTTGTAGGTCGGCCCTTCCCCCTCGTCCTATCTGCCCATCTCCCTCTCATCTACCAGCGCTCATCTCCGGGGCACCTAGGGGTGCTTTTTCCAAAGCCCTTCCTTTGCACCTGAAGGCATGTTGTTCATGGCGGACTACTTTAACTCCTGTCCTTGAGTCTGCTCACTACTAATCTACCCAATTCTCAAGAACTGTGTGCCCTGCTTCCCCGGTACCCAGCCAGTGCCTATGAAAATGATGTTGGTTTGGTGACTGGCTGACTCAATGTTGGGGTGCCTGAATTAATGTCTTTGATATTTGTAAAGGATCATCATGAGGAGTCATAGGAGAAGAGCTTATAGAAGGAAATGGCATCAAAAAGCAGGTAGAAAATGGAGGAGGGAGTGGAGAGCAGGCCCAGGAAGGAAGGACAGGCAAGTGAAGTCACCCGGACAAACCATGAAGATAACTCATGTTCTTTGCCCCTCAAAGTCCTGGAATGAGAACTCCTTCTCTGTAGCTCCTGTCTAGAATAATAGATAGATGTTTCTGAGCATAGTTTTAGAAATGAATTTATGGGAATAGAGCAATGATGGTTTTAAAGAGGTTGAATTAACCAAGGTAACATGTCAGGAAGTCCTACCATCTGTAAAAAAGGTGAGAAAATGGGAAGCTCCCTAAAAACAGGCACCACTACTGTTCTAAGAACTACATGAACCTTAGCTGGTTTGGCTTAGTGGATAGAGCGTCGGCCTGTGAACTGAAAGGTCCCAGGTTCGATTCTGGTCAAGGGCACATGCCCTGGTTGTGGACTTGATCCCCAGTGGGGGACTTGCAGGAGGCAGCTGATCACTGATTCTCTCTCATCATTGATGTTTCTATCTCTCTTTCCCCCTCCCTTCCTCTCTGAAATCAATAAAAATATATTTTTAAAAAATAAGACCTGCATGGATATTAACACTATAATGCTAATAGCTCTTTCTTAGCAAATGCTTATTACATGCCAGGCATAATCTTCACATACCTTGTCTCCTTTGCCTTCATTTAGTTCCACAATAATCCTATGAGGCAATTATTAGTATCCTAGCTTTCAGAGAAAAAGCCAGGTGCCCAGGCTGGTCAATGATGGAGCCCCATAAACCTAGGATTATCTGTCTCCAAACCACTGTGTAGCACCACCTCCATAGAGAAGGAACTCCAGGGTGTGTGTGTGTGTATGTGTGAGAGCACGGGGACAGGAAGAAAGATGGTCTTGGTGCAATAACCGTCTATAATGGCAGCCTTTGTCTCTGTAGTGCTCTGTGACCTGCGGTGAAGGGACGGAGGTGAGGCAGGTCCTCTGCAGGGCCAGTGACCACTGTGACGGGGACAAGCCTGAGGCCACCAGAGCCTGTCAGCTGCCTCCCTGTAATGGTAGGTGTGACACTAACTGGTTTCACTGCTCTGACAATGGTTTTTAAGCACCAAAAAGCAGAATTTCCTTTCAGGACAAGCTCTGGAATTTCCATTCGCTTATCAGAAAATAACCAAAGGTAATTAATCTTAAAAAATTAGCCTAAAAAGAATTCCACCCAGGGAATTGTCCTAACCACTGGGGTCAGGGCTGCGTCCCGTGCATGTAGCATCTATCAATATGTGTTTCTAGAAGAGCTGCTTATTGTCTTCTGTGACTTTCTTTATAACCTATCATTGTAAAAGCATAATATTGTGGAAGGTTTTGAAATGTTTTACTAAAGTTATTCAGTATAGACATGTGGGTGGTAAATGCTATTTATAAAGCTATTTCCAATATCTGTCCGTCTACCTCCATGCACTCCCTGAGGGTGAGTTCTGAATAGACACCTTACACATGCAGAAATCTGCCTGATCGCCTCTCTTGCTAGATTACAAAAGCAGAGTCAGTGTAATTTAAAAATAGTGCTTTGCTGCTGGAAATAGATAAAATATACATGGGATGGCTTCAGTTTCTGTCACTCTGTCTCCTTTTCTGTGCTGTCTCCGTCCTCTCTGCCTGTTCTGCTGCTCCCCTTCTTCCCGCACACACCTTCTCTTCTCAGCCTCTCTCCCCACCTCCCATCTCATTCTAGGTCTTCCATACTCTCCTTATCGCTCTCCCCCGACCCTTTCTCTACCACATGTGCCTGTGCCTCTTCCCAGTCTCATACATTCTCGCCCTTCTGTCCTCTCCTTACCCTCCCTCCATCACAAACTTACTCTTAAACGCAATTCTACTAAGTCTGTGCCTAATACAACTGTGGACGCTGCTCAGACCTACTAGTGAGGCTTGGGACTATAGAAGTTGCCTTTTTAATGGCCTGTGACAACATATATTGCTTGAATATTGACGTGTGCTAAATGGCTTATTTTTTCAAGAAAATTTGCAAAGCACTATTTTATCAAATGTCTTTTTTTTTTTTTAAAGAAATTTCAGGCTTCAAGTCTTGTAAACCTTATAAATTATTTCATTATACATTTTCATTTGAAATGTGTAGTGGTATGAACAAGAATGACCATGAGGGGGAGACAAAGAACTTGAATTCAATCATTTTTCTCTGGAAAGTATATTTGAAAGTTCAAAACACAACATCAGATCCAGAGAAGACACTTTACTCAGAAGCTATAAAGTTTAGTTGCCCTAATATTTTATTTTTTATGTAGGCATTACCACCAGGAGGCTAAACACTTTGTGAGTAAGCTTTGCTAATGTTAATAGAGCTATATATTTCTATAAATAGGCCTAATTATCAGCAAGAGTATACTTGATTCTCTTCCTTTTTAGCTAAAAGAAAATGTTTTTATTATAAAACTGAGGTGCTGATGGGAGGACATCACTATGTTATGTTAGTGATTCCACATCCTTTTAGCTTCTCTCTTGCTCTGAAATGTAGAATTCTAAAAGGCCACCTGTTTCTACCATATACAATGGAGTAAGTAACACTTCCCTTCAGAGTCTCAAGCTGCAATTAGAATCAAATGGCCTTTTGAGACCCTGTGTAAAACGTTTTTTTTCTGAACTCCTTAGAATGATCTGGGCATTGAGTGAGAAAGCTAAAAAAACGTTCTTAATTGTAATGATTTTATCATATGAATCCTTTTCTAAGCCCCATTTTTGATAATACTATTTATGGCTGCCATGAAGCCCTTCCCATCTATCCCAAGGCAAATTACCCATGAAATTAATATATCCCTTTGCTCTTATTTTCTCTCCAGAATATCTCTGCCTTTTCCCTCTTCCATATAGAAGCATAGTCTGGCCATAATTAGACCCAGGCTGTGTACCTGTCCCTGCAATGCCAAGCTGCTCACACTTAGACACAACAGACCCTTATGTGGTCTCCTTCTTTAACTCAAAGAGAATAGAGCACTTTGAGCTGGGCCACATAATTTAGAAGGTTTCAAAGACTTGGAGCCAGAATGAGGGTGATGGAGGTCAGGAGTCAATGGGAAGAGACAGTACAGGGTCAGTTAAGATCCATTATCCTAGGACCTAGAGGCTTAATTACACATGAAGAAGAAATTATCTTCCTTATCCTATATAATAAAAACCTAATATGCTAAGTGTCCGGTCGTCCATTCAACCAATCAAAGCATAATATGCTAATGATATACTAAGGCTGCTCAGCCGCTTGCTATGACGTACACTGACCACCAGGGACAGACGCTCCGACCAGTAAGTTATCTTGCTGCTGGGATCCAGCCAATTGGGACTGAGCAAGACAGACCGGACATGCCCTGGAGCCCTTCCACGGTTCCTCCCCGGCTGTCCAACCTTCCACATCCCTCCCTGATCATGCACCGGTGGGGTCTCTCAGCCTGGCCTGTGCCTTCTCATAATCCAGGACCCCTCGGGGGATGTCAGAGAGCTGGTTTTGGCCTGATCCCACAGGCCAGGTCAAGGGACCCGACTGGTGCACAAATTTGTGCACTGGGCCTCTAATCCTATCTAATAAAGAGGGAATATGCTAATTGACCCTCACACTGTTGCAAAGATGGCATCACCCACAGCCAATAAGGAGGGAATATGCTAATTGACTAGCCCACCTTCAAAGATGGCAGCGCCTACAGCCAATAAGGATGGAATATTGCTAATTGCCTGCCCTCAAAGATGGAGGCACCCACAGCCACAAGGTGGTGGGGCCCAGTCCCCTTAGCCCTGCCAGGGTGGCAGGCATGTGGCCGCTCCGTGTGCCTGCCTCTGGAGACCCCTCAGTCCCCTCAGCCCACCAGCCACCTAGGGCCGGCCCGAGGCACAGGCAAGCCTCGGATGGCAGCTGCCCAGCCACCTAGGGCTGCCTAAGGCTCAGGTAACGAGGGCTGGCCGAGGCTTGCACTGCCGGCAGTAACAGCAGCAGAGGTGTGATGGGGCATCGCCTTCCCCTGATTGCCGAGTCGTCTCCCACCTCTGAGGGCTCCAGGACTGTGAAAGGGGGCAGGCCAGGCTGAGTGATCCCCCCTCCAGTGCATGAATTTTCACGCACCAGGCCTCTAGTTTTAAGATAATAGGCATAGAAAAAGTCATTTACATATAATGAGGAATTGATATTTGAGGTGAAACCTCATTAAGGTGATTCTCAGGCATTCACAACATAATTAGCAGATTACTTTAGCTAATAGAAAATACTCAAACATCATACTATATGGTAGATTTGTAAATGTCAGGCAAATATAAGTCATTCCACAGTTTGGGACATGGACATGGTTCTGTAACTCTAGTAAGTAATTTATCATTTCTAATACATAATAAATAAAGGTGGTATTTTTAGCTCTCCTGTTGGCCTTGCCAACTGACCCCTTTTTTGTTCGTTTTCAAACTTCACTAAAAAAGATTCTTTGACAAGTTATATGGCAGTTTCCTTACTTAACAATATAGTATTAGCCAATAATACATCTAATTAAAACATTATCTCAGTTTTTTCTTTGGTAATATATTTTTACGATTTAATTTGTTTTAAAAGGTCTTGAGTATATGTTTTTATTTTAAATTTAATATAGAGACTATTCTATATTATAAAATAAATCAGATGCTTCTTTATATCCTAAAAATATATGTGGTAAAAGTAATCCTATTTTCTCATTAGAAAATCAGATATATGTTCCTAGTGAGAACAAAAAAAATACCCTTGCTCTGAAGACTCCTGATGGAGATATTAAAATGGAGGAAAACCCAGATGCTTTGCACATAAAGAACTGCTTACTGCATTGAATTCATCCTCATGCTGATATCTGTAATGTAAAGGTTCCTTTGAACAACTCCCATCAATGTCTGGTTTTACTTAAATCTTTTGTAAATTCATAAAAATTTGTACTTTTTGCAGATGAGCCATGTCTGGGAGATAAATCCATATTCTGTCAAATGGAGGTGCTGGCGCGGTACTGCTCCATCCCAGGTTATAACAAGTTGTGCTGTGAGTCCTGCAGCAAACGCAGCAGCACCCTGCCACCGCCCTTCCTTCCTGAAGCTGCTGAAACTCGTGATGAAGTTATCTTTAACCCCAGTGACCTCCCTGGATCCCTAGTGATGCCTACATCTTTGGTTCCTTACTATTCAGAGACTCCTGCTGAGAGGAAGAAATCTTTGAGTAGGATCTCTTCAGCAGGCGGTCCAAATGCATCTGCTACTCTCAGGCCACACAGTAAACCCGATGGTGCTAACTTACCCCAGAGGAGAGCTCAGCGAGCAGGAAGTAAGCCTGTGGGACAGGTCTCCCCTGCCACCAGGAGTGGACACCTCACTTCATCCTCACAAACCGCTGCTGCCCCCTTCCTTGCAGTCCATGATTCAACAGGTGCTTCTTCTCAGGCAAGAACCTCAAAGAAAGAGGAAAAGATTAATGACAACAGACATCCGCTAAGATCGCCCACCTTGGAAAGATGAAAAGGTGAACCTAAAAGGCTAGAAATCAGAGGAAAGCCTGGCCAAGCTCCCTCTCCCAGTGGTGCATACAGCTTGTTTAAAGTGGTCATCTCCATACATTGTCAACTCATTTTACCTGTAAATGGAAGAGCAAAAGTGCTGGTTCACTTTCTAGTTGCTTTCCTCCTTTTTTTGTTCTGCATTAACTCATTACCAGAATTCATTGGAAGAAGGCACCAAAGAATATTAACAGAAGGAAAGTGGCTAAGTGTATTGGTCACTCTCTACAGCAGAAAAGGGACTGGAGCCATTTGTGCATATCAGCTGATTTTTTGCTTTAAAAGTTATAGTAAAAAGGAGGTGCCAACGGTTTACACCTTAACAAAATATTTTGGAAATGGAGCAAAGAATTTGTAGACTTGTATTTCTATTTATCTATATTAGAAATATTGTATGAGCAAATTTGCAGCTGTTGTGTAAATACTGTATATTGCAGAAATCAGTATTATTTTAAGAGATGTGTTCTCAAATGATTGTTTACTATATTACATTTCTGGATGTTCTAGGTGCTTGTCATTGAGTATTGCCTATTTGACATTTTTTGGGCTGATATTCAAAGCAGAATGTTACAAAAAAGAAGTTAGAATTGCAGCTACTGACAATACCAAGGGTTTTATTTAATCAACAGTGTGATGCTTAAGTTACAGAAAAGGAAAAAAACAACAACAGGTAAGCTGCAGATATACAGATTTCAGCTTACCTATTACTTTCCATCCTTTAATAAAAAAGAATGGACTGTGGTCACAGGGAACAGAGACCAATCAATGAACCTGTGCAATAAAAAAATGGAAACTGCTTACCAGGACCTCAATAGGCACCACTGATGTGTCTTATGTTTTTAAGTTGTGTTTTTTTTATTTTCCCATTGTTGACACATCCAAGAAAAAGCATACTCAATGTACTGTAATAATAACAAAGGAATATGTATTGAGATAATTTGTATGTTGGTAGCTGAACTAGAATTTATACTCAAGTATAGTAGGGCTTTGAAAGCAGGTTCTAAAAAGCATTTGTCAATGGTTGCAATATTTATTTTCTGCATGGTTCACACACCCAAATGTTCACAACCACAATGCATCTGACTGCAATAATGTGCTAGTAATTTATGCCAGTGGTCACCTTACTCACAGTGAAGCCAGAAATGCTCTCTCCAGGGAGTAGATGTAAAGTACTTGTATATAGAATTCAGAACTGAAGATATTTATTAAAAGTTGATTTTTTCCTTGATAGTATTTTTATGTACTAAATATTTACGCTAATATCAATGACATATTTTGGCAAACTAGAGAGACATATTAGAAATGCATGCTTTGTGCTATGCCTACGGGAGAAACTTAAGCAAACAACAGCCAAATCAAAGAGCTAAAGCTGAACTAATTTGATGTGATGCAACCATTTGCATCTTTAAAGTAGTTGAAATGAAGTTGATTTGTTCCCCTTCAATGAAACAAAATATATGGACTTAGTTAGCTTTTTTTGAAATAGTGAATTAGAAACATTTTTTAAAAAAAGTATGTGAAAGAGATATGCACTTCATAAATTACAATTCAAAAAATAAAGAAATATGCATGTCCCCATAATGGTTTTGAGGTCAGTTTCTGAACTGTTTAAATGTATTATGCATGCTAACCTTCATGAAGACATGTTAACCTTCAAAGCACAGGATGTGCAAGGACTTTTGCATTTGAATCATGATAAACTAACAGCTTCACCTATTGACTCTATACCTCCAAGGAATCGCTGCTACTTTGTGCAAGACTTTTGAAAGTCAAATGAGTTAGGTGAATTCCAGATCATAAAATAATCCCGAGCCTCAAGTAAAGGTCATTCCCCACCCCCAAAAATGAATTCTCTCTAGTTTGCTTGCATGTGTATACATCTGGTCCATAGGAGAGTTTAAAGAGGGTCACACACATACACCTCCCATAAAGATGTACACATTCGTTATACTTCTGATCTTCAAGCTTCCTTTTCTACTAAGCTAAACATTCTTTTTTTTTTTATCAAAGTGTACACTACTGATGCTGTTTGTTGTATTGGGAGCACGTAGCAATAAAAATGTTAATAAAATATAGATCTGGCTCCATTGAGGTTTTTATCATTGGATTCATCACTGAGTAATGAAAAAGTTCTCTTTCCACCTACAAAGTGAAATAGCATCAAATCCATTTGCTATTGGACTTTCTCTAAACTGTTCAAATGGAGTGACAGTGTCTCCTAGTCTCACGTCAGGGTGTATCATAATATACTTTAAAAATAAAAATTTAAAAAACAAGATTTTATGGGGTGTGGCTTAAGTTCATTCCACAGAATTATGAAGAGGCAGAGAGAAAATGATGATATATATAATTAGTATTATAATAAAAGAGTAATATGCAAATTGACCCTAACAGCAGAGCAACTGGGAATCACTGGTCACTAAGACACACATCGACCACCAGGCGGCAGACGCTCAATGCAGGAGCTGCCCCCTGGTGGTCAGTGTGCTCCCACAGGGGGAACTCTGCTCAGCCACTAGCCTGGCTGACGGCTGCCAGTAGAGCCGTGGTGGTGGGAGCCTCTCCTGCCTCCTCAGCAGTGCTAAGGATGTCCAACTGCAGCTAGGCCTGCTCCCCGCTTACAGGTGGACATCCCCCAGGGGCTCCCAGGCTGCCAAAGAAATGTCTGACTGCCAGCTTAGGCCCAATCCCCCCAGGGAGCGGGCCTAAGCCAGCAGGTGGCCATTCCCTGAGGGGTCCCAGACTATGAGAGGGCACAGGCCGGGCTGAGGGACCCTCCCAAGTGCACAAATTTTTGTGCACCGGGCCTCTAGTATATATATATATATATATGTAAAGAAAAGGGGGGTAGACTGTTAAAATGCTTCCCACCAGCTTTGAACCTTGATTGCCTGAGGATTGGTTGGGAACCCATCACCCATGACTCTGAAGTATGGGGAGGAATGGAACATCACATTGGAGGGCCTTCTGGGAGTCACCACCTATAACTTCATACATAAATGAGTTTAGGTAACCTGGCTAGGTTTCCTTGCCTGTAAAATAGGAGACAGAACTTGAAACACCATGGGGTGAAGACTGTGAGAAATGACATATAGCTGCTAGCATATAGTAACTCACAATTACTAGTGTCATTATCCTTATATCATCCCCAACCTCCTCCTCATCTTCACTGTGTGACGAAACCACAGCTTTCCTCTAGGGTCCATGGCTAGTTTGAATCAGTCACTGGGCCTATTGATCGTGGTAAATAATGGAGTTTCAGAAATCTAAGGACAAAAAAATGTAGTTTTAAAAATTGATGGGAAAGATTAATTCATTAAAAATGCTCTTCAGTAATTGATTTTTGAAGATTTGTATCTATTTATGCTCACTCTGCTTTTGCCAACATTAAATAGTCAAACTAAGGAATAACCGTTAATTGTATGTTTCTATAAAGGTGGCCCTGGGTGCAATAATTCCCAAATTATTAGCAAATCAATGTTTCTCATATACTTACATTAATCACTTGGCAGAAATATTAACAAGTCATTCCTTTATACCTATTTTGTATTTTCTTCATGGAGAGGCTGCTTAAATATACTAGTAAGATTTTAAGAACTGAAAAATGATGGAAACATAGATAAGGTATAACAGATATCACTTGTTTAAAAGAAGTACTAAATAAAAAATAAAAAGCAGTTGAAGTAAAACTGCTTAAAATGCAGTAAAATATAAAAGCCAACCTAGGATGCACAGGCATTACAACACATCAACTAATATTAGAAAACAATCATCTGGGGCCCAGACGCTTCTGCATAAATCACTTAGAGCTAGAGATAACAAAGAATTAAAGCAAATCATAATCTACTGAAATAAATTTATCAAAAACATAACTTTTAAGACAAAATGAAGTGCTACAAATTTCTGCAAAATCGAATTACCACCTTATTTCTTTTCCCCATCCTGATGTATAAAAGTGCATAAAAGTCACTTGTCACTTATCTACTTTGTTGGGATGCTAATGTTTATTGCACTGACACTGTTGATCAGAAAGGTTGCTCTTTTCCAGCCATTCATACTTTCAAACAAATTATTAATTGACCAGTTAATTTTCAACCATTTTATTTTAAAATTTTTATTGTTATTATTTTAAAATTGTCACCCAAAGATACCACTCCCCACCCCCCTATGATCTTTAGAGAGTGGAAGGGAGGGGGAAGAGGGGGAGGGAATGAGACAGAGAGAGAGAGAGAGAATGTGAGAGAGACACATCTTCTGGTTGCCTCCCACATGTGCCCCTACAGAGGCTGGGGAATCAAACCTGCAACTGAGGTATGAGCCCTTGACCAGGAAATGAACCTGCAACCCTTTAATCCACAGGCCAATGCTCTAATGACTGAGAAAACTGACCAGGCTCAACCATTTGCTTTTTAACAATTCACTGGGGTTTG